CACCCGCCGCTGTCCCAGCCTTTCCTCCCAGCAGAGGGTTTCCAGCCCTCGCATCATGGCTGGGGCCTCCTCTGGCCCGGCTCCCACAGCTCCAGGTCTGCCCTGTGCTGAGGGCTCCAGAGCTGGATGCAGGACTCCCGGGGTGGTCTCAGCAGAGTGGGGCAGAGGGGCAGAATCCCCTCCCTCACCCTGTGCCCCCACTGCTGGGGATGCAGCCCAGGAGACGGTTGGCCTTCAGGGCTGTGAGCGCACGTTGCCAGGTCATGTCCAGCTTTGCATCCCCCAGCACCCCCAAGCCCTTCTCCTCAGGGCTCCTCTCCATCCCTTCATCCCCCAGCCTGTATTGATACCGGGGTTGCCCTGACCCAGGTGCAGGACCCTGCACTTGGCCTTGTTGAACCTCATGAGGTTTGCATGGGCCCACTTTTCAAGCCTGTCCAGGTCCCTCAGGATGGCATCCCGTCCTTCTGGCATGTTAACTGCACCACTCAGCTTGGTGTCATCTGCAAACTTGCTGAGGGTGCACTCGATCTTGCTAAGTCATTTATGAAAATGTTAAACAGCACCAGTCCCAGTACGGTCCCCTGAGGGACACCACTTGTCACCGGCCTCCATTTGGACATTGAGCCTTTGACCACTACCCTCTGGCTGCGACCTTCCAACCAATTCCTTAGCCACTGAACAGCCCACCCATCAAATCCGTATCTCTCCAGTTTAGAGAGAAGGATGTTGTGGGGGACCATGTCGAAGGCTTTACAGAAGTCCAGATAACCAACATCCGTTGCATTTCCCGTGTCTACGGATGCAGTCACTACATCATAGAAGGCCACTAGGTTGGTCAGGCAGGACTTGCCCTTGGTGAAGTCATGCTGGCTGTCTCGAATCACCTCCCTGGCCTCCATGTGCCTTAGCAGAGCTTCTAGGAGGATCTGTTCCATGATCTTCCCAGGCACAGAGGTGAGACTGACAGGTCGGTAGTTCCCAGGGTCCTCCTTCCTACCCTTTGTAAAAATGGGCATAATGTTTCCCTTCTTCCAGTCTCCAGGGACTTCACCTGACTGCTATGGCCTTGCAGATATGATGGAGAGTGGTTTGGCAATGACATCAGCCAATTCCCTCAGGACACGACTTACTTGTGAACGTCTCCAGCATTCTTCCCCAGTGCCATTTCTGCACGTTTACCTTTACCGTGTTCATCCTCCACTAGAAGGGTAAATGCCTATGAAGTTCATGCAGATGTTCAGCACAGAAATCCTATAACATCAAACAAAACATAAATAATAGACATTCCATCACGTTCAAATTAATTTTTATGTACGCTTCGATACAGAAGCTCCTAAGATTCTGTGCAGTGTTTTATAAAACAGTAAAAGAAGAAATTTTTATCAATACTGATGGCTTATAATGTGTTGCAAACAAGTTTGAAGTCAAAATTGTGTCCTTTTTATTTCCTCATGTTGTTGCTGGATGTCCTTGCCAATGCAATAATATTATTTTTCCTGTTAGTACGTCTGTTCAGACAATTGTTTTCAATCTAGGAGTTGTCTGCCACACCCATTCTTGTTTTCTGGTAACGCAGCAATACATTAGGAACGTTGATGCCTTCTGCCTTTGTAAAATACAAAGGTTCACTTTAAACCATTATAGGTCAAATTTTCAGTTGAAGAACTTTGTCTCCAATAGG